CAACCCAAGGGTCTGGCCTTTCCTTGCTTCCCTGGGCTACTCCCTCCCTTTGGTATTGTGCAGAGCAGGGGAGACTATGTGGTCAGAGCACAACACAGATTATTAGCCCAAATAAAAGAATTTATTTAACTATTTACACAATTATGAAGTGCACACACACTAAATGAATAAGGCACAACTGTAGGAGTAAGCACACACTATGAACCAATAGGGCATAAGTCAACAGGGGGTCCCTACACAGCACCCAGCCAATGGCTGAGGGAGCGCATTGCACAGCCAATGGGAGAGCTGGAAAGTGCCACTCCACTTTACAATTATATATAAGGAGAGATAATGTTGTATATAGGGCTGCCTTTGAAAATAGTCCAGAAACTTCACTTGGTTTAAAATATGAGAGCCAGGCTATTTGTCAGGAGTTGGTAACTTACAGGGATTGTATCAGCCATGTACTGAAAGGTCTCCTATTTATTTATTTATTTATTTATTTATTTATTTATTACTTTAACTTTTACCCTGCCCTCCCTGCCGAGGCAGGCTCAGGGTGGCTTACATAAGAATGAATAAAATAATATAGGTCTCGGTATAAAATACATAATAGACAATTTAAAACCATTACTATACCAATGGCGGTACAAATATAATAAAGTGCGTGTAAGAACACGTTCAGTGGTGCCTCCACCTAGGTGGCTTAAGCTGGAGATAAAATCAGCCCAGGGCATACCTGATAAAGTGCAGCTCCTACCGAAATGCCTGCCGGAAGAGCTCTGTTTTCATGGCCCTGCGGAACTGTGGAAGATCCCGCAGGGCCCTGATCTTGCCCGGGAGCTCATTCCAATAAGTCGGAGCTGCCAAAGAGAATGCCCTGGTCCTGGTCGATATCAACCTGGCGACCTTCGGGCCAGGGAGGGCCAAGCAGTTTTGTGCCCCTGATTGCAGTGCTCTCTGGGGAATATGTGGGGAAAGGCGGTCCCTCAGGTAGGCAGGTCCCTGACCATAAAGGGCTTTAAAGGTCAAAACTAGCACCTTGAAGCAAATCCAGTATGTTATTGGCAGCCAATGCAATGTCTTTAGCACAGGCCAGATATGCTCCCACATAGGGAGGCCCATCAGCAGCCTGGCCGCCACATTTTGTACCAGCTGCAGCTTCTGGAGTTGCACCAAGGGCAGCCCCAAGTAGAGAGCATTGCAGTAGTCACCTCGAGGTGACCATTGCGTGGATCACTGCAGCCAGATCATTGCATTCTAGGAAGGGAACCAACTGCCTAATCAGCTGGAGATGGTAAAAGGCTGCCTTGGCAGTGGCTGCTACCTGGGCCTCCATTGTTAGGGAAGCATCCAGGAGCACTCCCAGACTCCTGACCCTCAGCGCTGGCACCAGCGGCACCCCATCAAAGGCTGGTAGTGGGATCCCTACCCCTGATCTGCTCCAATTCAGGCACAGGACCTCCGTCTTCGTCGGATTCAATTTCAATTGACTCAGTCTAAGCCATCCAGCCACGTCCTGTAATGCCTGGTCTAGGTCTTCTAGGGTAGAGTCAGACTGACCGCCCAACAACATATAGAGCTGAGAGTCATCCGTATATTGGTGACACCCTAGCCCATGCCTCCGGGAAGTCTGGGCAAGGGGGCGTGTATAGATGTTAAATAGCATCAGGGAAAGCACCACCCCTTGAGGCACTCCACAGATTAGTGGGTGCCTTCAGGACAGCTGCTCCCCAAGAGCCACCCTTTGTCCCTGACCTTGGAGAAAGGAGACGAGCCATTGCAAGGCAAGCCCCTGAATCCCCATGTCGGCGAGGTGGTGGGCCAGTAGCTGGTGGTCGACCGTGTCGAACGCTGCTGACAGGTCCAACAACAACAGCACTGCCGTCCCGCCCTGATCCAGGTGCCTCCGGAGGTCATCTGTGAGGGCGACCAATGCTGTCTCCATCCCATGGCCTGGGCAGAAGCTGGACTGCGTGGAAGTGTCATCCATAAAGTTCTGCAACTGTGTTCCCACCGCCCTCTCAATTAATTTGCCCAAATAGGGCAAATTGGAAACCGGCCAATAGCCAATTCGGCCGGATCCAGAGATGGTTTTTTTAGAAGAGGGCGGACTATCGCTTCCTTGAGATCCCCCAGGAACAGCCCTTCAGAGAGGGACTTGTTGATAATATCCCTAAGGGCACCTCAAAACCCCTCACGGCCAGCTTTAATTAGCCAGGAGGGGCATGGGTCAAGGCTGCATGTGTTTGGGCGTACTGTTGAGATCAGTCTGTCAACTTCCTCTGGGCTGAGTGGACTGAAATAATCCAGAATAGGACCAGAAGATGTGCTTGGAGCCTCAAGTTCACTCACTGTCTCAACTGTGGCCGGGAGGTCGCGGTGGAGCAACAAGACTTTATCTGCAAAATAGCTCGCGAAAGCCTCACAGCCTGTATCCAATTCACTGATGTTTTGTCTGCCCTGTGGCAAGACTGTTAAAGACCGAATAGTTCTATACAATTGGGCTGGGCGTGAGCTTGTAGACACCATAGTGGCTGCGTAGAACTCCCTCTTTATAGCTTTGACTGCCATCTCACAGGATCTCATAAACGTCCTATAAGATGCTCTTGTTGCTTCGTCACGTGCGCACCGCCACTGTCTCTCTAGCTATCTAAGCCTTCGCTTCATCAGCCTCAGCTCCTGGGTATACCAGGGAGCCAACCTAGAGCGAGGATGCAGAGGACGTCTGGGAGTGAGCTTGTCGATGGCTGTCAAGAGTTGGCCATGCCAGTCCTCGACTAGTTCATCAAGTGAGCCGTCAGGGGGCATTGGATCCCAAAGAGCTATCTGCAGCTGCAGAGGATCCATTTGGCTCTGCGGGCAAGCTAAAATACGTTCACCGCCCAAACAGGGTTGGGGTGACACATTCACTCGGGTCTTCAGGGCATGGTGGTCCGACCATGAAACTGCCATAGCAGCAGTCTGGTCCACTGTGACCCCTGCTGCAAAGATCAAATCAAGCGTTTGACTGGCTCGGTGAGTAGGGGCCGTTACATGTTGTGAGAGTCCCAGTGCCACCATGGACAACACCAGGTCCACCGCCTGTGAGGAAGCCACATCGTCAGCATGGACTTTGAAGTCACCCAGGACTATCAGTCTAGGGTGCTCCAATGCCCAGCGGTCAGTACAGCAGCCAAACAGTCAAACTCTCCCCGGCTTCCCACACAAAGCCGGCACACTCGATGCCTGTGAGCCTCAGTGATGGGAGCGCCCTGAAGGAGTAAGCCTCCCGAATGAACAGAGCCACTCTCCCCCCCAGCCCCTTAGTCTGAGATTGGTGGAGGACTGAGAACCCGGGAGGAGCCAACTGGGAGAGAGCAACCGTCTCCCCATCGCGTACCCAGGTTTCGGTCACGCACGCCAGATTCACGTCCTGCTCCAGCAGGAAGTCACGAAGGACTGAGGTCTCATTATTTATGGATCTGGCGTTGCAGAACACCAATGTCGGAGTGGGGTTTTTACTCCTAGCCCCACTGCCTGCCACCTGTGGGATGGGATGCAGGCTGGAAGGTGGCCGAGCTTCTCTATTTCTCTTCCCCCTTCCATTCCTGCCTGGTCCCACCGCTGTACTTTCCTCTCCCCAGGAGCACTGGTATTCCCTGGCCCATCATTATCAGCCACTAATGATCTTCGCTACTCTGAGCCTCATACCCCTGATAGTTGATTAGATGGTATATCCTAGTATGGTGCTACTAATGGCAGTTCGCAGGTTCTCTTAGTGTTGTTAACCTTAGAAGCCTAATCTGTCCTGACAGACCCTTCTGACCTACTAAATAACCACCCAACCCCTAGTTAGCTAGCACTTAAGTTTCAATCCATTTCTCTTTCTCAAGGCCAGTGATTTCTTTAAAGGCCAGGGATCATCATAGTGATACAGTCAATTCCGCTATGCTCTAATCAGTCCCGCTGTAGGATAGCTAAGTCACAATAATACTTAATTAAATAATTTAATCACATCCTCTAATCAATTGATTTAGTCGGTTCCTCACTGTCTACTGTTTAAATCATACCCCCCAATTAATTCAATTTAAATCATAAACCCCAGTTAATTAACTACCCCAATAGACAATAAATAATCAATCAATTATCCAACTTTGCAGGACTATAATGCTATTAAAACCGAATCATGTGAGATTCTGCCTGCCCGCTGGCTAAAGTCCGATGGTTTCCTCCAGTCCCGTTCAACTGTTTCTGGGCACAATTCAAAGCTCTGGTTCTTACTCTGAAGGCCCTAAATGGCTTGGGGTAAAGGTACCTGAAGGACCATCTCATCCTGTACTGTCCAGCCCTCCAGTTCTGTCTCCCAAGCCCTGCTCTGTTTCCCCTGCCTTCAGAGGTGAAGTAGATGGTTATTAGACAGATGGCATTTTCAGTTGCAGTCTTCTACTTGAGACTTACCTGGCCCCCACCGTACTGTCTTTTAGGTATCAGGCCACAGCATTTCTTTTTACCCAGGTTTTTAATTATCTTTCCAGCTGTTTTATCGTCTGGTTCTGGTCTGAGGTCTGTTTTATGGATAGTTTTAAACAGTTTTTTATGTCTCTGGGCTTGTTTTAATTAGTTGTGTGCTTCTATGTTGGTGATTTATTTTAACTGTAAGCCCTGCTTCTTAATAAGTGTTGGCCAGCAGTGGGAGAGGCAAGAAAGTCCACTGACTGAAATCCCTTCCATTGGGAGAAATTACTTCTGGATTCATCCCCAATATTCATTTTCCAATCATTCTGTTTACTCAAAACATAAAAATATGTGTTTATAAATAAACAGCTAAATTTAATTTGTCATAAAGTGTAAATCCATGCAACAGAAATTTAAGTGACAGCTCTTTTGTTTATAAACTCCACATTGGTGCGTAATTCTGCCCTTTGCCAGTTTTATGTTTTCATATAACTGCCATTTGCACAGTTTACTTTCATCTCTTTCTTAAAATTGTTTTCTTTGCTTTGGCTGTAGCAATCACATGGTCTTCTGAAAAAGTCATGGGTAGCTGTTGTAGCTGTCCAGATAAAGAAAATGTCCCAGATAACCATCGAAACAAATTCAAGGTAAAATTTTGTGTGGGATTTTGTTGCTTTGATGGTCTGAGTTCTGTTTTACAATGGCAAGGAAGAAGGAGGAATGTTAAGGATTAATAGGAACTTCCATGGTAAATTTCAGTTTTCTTCTGAAGTATGTGTGGCCTGTACACCCATGAGCTCAGTACAGAGAGAAAATATAATCCACTGGTACTGTTTTACCACAGAGCCATGCTATTTCATGAACATTTATAATCTATATGGATAACTTTATGCTGCCTGTCTCTGGAATAGTGCTGAGACTTCAGTTAAAAATTCTTTTTCCAGTTGAATTTAATGGGATACATGGTTTTAGTTAATTACTTTTAAGTAACTGTGAAATGATTTACCTTTAAATATGCAAGCATTTAATGTTGTGTTTTTAAAAATATTTTATAGGTTATTAATGTGGATGATGATGGTAATGAATTGGGTTCTGGTATAATGGAACTTACTGACACAGAACTAATCTTGTATACTCGTAAACGGGATTCTGTCAAGTGGCATTACCTTTGTCTGCGCCGCTATGGCTATGATTCCAACCTCTTCTCTTTTGAAAGTGGCCGAAGATGTCAAACTGGACCAGGTATGTATGAAGCCTCCCATTTCACAAATCTGTAAGTGAAATTCAGGTGCAAAGTATAGGTGTATTAGCTGTGTTTGTTCTGTTTTAGAAGACTCAAAATAGCCTACTAAAATAGTCCAATGTCCTTATAACTTACAGGGAGATGGATCTTACAATGTAAATTGTTCTGATTAAAAATAAGTTAATGAAATTTAGCCTAGTTCTGTATTTCCAAAAGTGATTTTGTAAGTAATAGTGGAAGTTTATTGAAATCACCAAATAGCCTACAGTACTGAATTCTCATTTAGTAATTCTATTGAAATATGCTGAATAAGGTTTATGATAGCTCCTGTTTTAGTGATGTAGAAGAATATGCAGAATGCATTAAGAAGAGCTGCTCAGGATTATAGAAAGAGCTTATACTAGCTCAGTGGAAATCCTTGGTCTTATGTAACTGACTGCCATGCCATCCTTTTGAAACTTTGCCTTGTTTTGAACCATGGAAGATGTTGTGGAGATATTCTCCCTCTTCAAGGGAGTTGGGGAAAAACTGACCGTTTTCCAAATGAAGGGAGATAAATGGTGGGCTTCTCCAAGGATCTGTATTGGTGGCAACAGCAGTTAACTCATTGCTAGTTGATATAGAATTATGTGTGAGCATTATGTGTTAGCAGTGAAGTGACCAAGTGTACAGACGATGTCACATTTTTCAAGATGTTGAAAACACGTACAACTATGAAGAGCTTCAGTATGATCTCTTCAAATGGACTAAGTAGACAGAATGCTAAAAGTGGCAAATTAAAACCAATGCACACTGGAGCAGAAAACTAATTTCACACTTATACTGATGAAGTTTGTGTGATGGATTGTCAAGGGTTAATGCCTCATGGCGTCTGAGAACCTTTGAGTGACAGGGTGTTCAAACCGAATTCTGTGAAGAGTGTCAGTTAAGAAATGACAGTTCGGAACTGACAGTTGAAGAAGAAACAGTTTAGCACTGACTGAAGGCTGGGAAGGAGGTAAAGAGGAGTGAGAGGATTATGGAAGATCCCAATTCAATCTGAAAAGGGACAGAGCTTCTAGTTGAGAAGTAATCCCTGCGCAGTGAAAAGAGAGATAACTCTTAAAAGAGTGATCCCTGGTTCATGCATATAGAAGGATTTTAGGAACTTGGTTGTACGTTCCTGCCTTGTAAACTGGAATTGTCAGTGATACTCAGAAATTTCTGCTTGTGAGTGAAAGCAAAAACTAAAAAAGCCTCTCTCTTCAAAATTTTAAAGACCTTGTTGAAAAGTAAAAACACTTACTTGTTGGCAACACATTAGCTGGATTTAGTGTGATTACAAGGGTACCTCAGTTTTTATTATCAGTTCACCTCATACATCCTACCCTGAGTCCATTTGACTTTCCTCTCTCCAAGTTAAATAAAATATTTTGGTTATTTTTTTGACCTTTCAAAAGCCTCTTGTGTGTCATTAGAGTATAAGCAGGTGATTTTGTTTCTTCCCTCAAGTCCCTCAGCTGGGCCAGCATCAAAATATGTAATAACATGACAGGGTGGGACAGCCATAGACCAACAGATTAGAAGAAAATATATGCATGGACTGCCCAGCAAGCGAGCAAGCAAGAAGAAACAAAAGGGAAAATCCCGTGTGTGAGGGAGGGAAGAAGACAAGATCGCTATAGTTTGACTTGGTCATGATGATCCTGCTTTTAGGGTTATGATTAATAGTTCAATAAAAATACCAGCTATATGTACAGGCAGTGAAAAAGGCAGTCTCCTGTATCAGTGGTTACTGAAAGGAATTTGAAAATAAAATTAGCATTATTGTGTAGTGAAGCCACTTTGGCATTGGCATACCATGTCCAGTACTGTTAGCTTCATCTTAGAAAAGATATTGTTAAATGGGAAAAGCAAATGCAGAAATGGCAATCCAGAATTATCAAAAACCTATAGGCATTTTATGACACCTTAAAGACAAGTACATACACTTTGGACTAGAGCACATTCGTCCATAGATGTTTATGCTTTTGACAATTCGGCTATAGTCCATGAAGTCTTATGAAGTTTAGAATAAAGAATGTGTTGCTCTTTAAAGTGTCACACTTGCATTTTGTAACAAAGTTAGAGTCCAATAGCACCTTTAAGAGCAACAAATTTTTATTCAAGATGCACACTTGAAAAGTTGGATTAAACACTAACATGGATTCATTGATTTAAATGAAAAGTTTTAAGTTTTAATACTAACTGAATACTAACTGTTAAGGATCTTCCCTCTTGGGTTTTTAGTTATAGTGTGGGTTTAATTTACTGTCCTTTTATCCTGGGGTACTTTTTCCCTTCCCCTTTTCTTTTTCTGTTAGTGTGTAGGTGTAACAAAAATTAATAAAGCTACCCTGCCTTCAGGGGATTAAAAAAAAAAAAGATGTGAGCTTTTATGTGCATGCACACTTTGTCAGACAATGAAATGGAATTACATATCACATTTGTATATATAGAGGTGGCTTGTTAAATTAGCATGCAAAATAGTGAAAATATTTTTTTAAACAGATCAGAAGAATGACATGCTATGTTTCTGGTTATCATCTGTTTCGGTTCAACGGGGGGGGGGCAACATAGGTAATAAATATGTTAGAACTGGAGATTGATATGTCCTAATTTGTGAGAATCCCGTCCTTAGATTAACATGGCTACAGGTTAGCATGGCTGATAAACAGGATGGAACATTTTCTCAGCATGGAGTGGCTAAACCTCTAGTTCCTCTTATTTTAGAAAATTACATTGGGACATAGAGAGGTAAAATGTGTTAGTCTTAAGGTGTGGAGAAAGCAGGTAAGAGTTTTTTCTCCCTCTACTATGATGTTAGAATTTGGGGAAGTCCAGGGCTTTTTTTGTAGAAAAAGCCCAGCAGAAACTCATTAGCATAATAGGCCACACCCAACAGCAGAAACTCATTAGCATATTAGGCCACACCCCTGACAGCACAACTCATTGGCATATTAGGCCGCACCCCCATGTTACCAGAAGTGTGCTTATCCAGCCACACCCACCGTTTGCTTCTTATTCTGTTTACCCAGGGCTTTTTTTGTAGCAGGAACTCCTTTGCATGTTAGGCCACACACCCCTAATGTAGCCAATCCTAATGAGTTTCTGCTGTTGGGTGTGGCCTATTATGCTAATGAGTTCCTGCTGGGTGTGGCCAACTTGAAAGCCAGCCGGAACTCCGTTCCTGTGCGTTCCTGCCCAAAAATAGCCCTGGGGATGTCCAATTAAACTGTTGGGCAATAAATTCTAAACCGATAAAAGGAATAATTTTTATACAATTCATAATTACATTTTGGAGTTTGTTGTCAGAAGATATGATGATGACCTTTCATTTAGATGGCTTTAAAAGGAGATAAGACAGACCAATCAAGCTGTCAGCCATGATGGCTAAGTAGGATCTCTATCTTCAGAGGCAGCATGTCTATGATGCCAGTTGATGGGAGGCAGGAGCAACAGTGGAGAACAACTTTTGTCCTCATGCCTTGTCCGTTGGCTTTCCTGACTCACCTAACTGGTTGGAAACAAGAAGCCAGACTACAGGGATGCCAGACTCTTTGTCTGATCTGTGTTATTTATTTACTTTACTTATAGTCTACCTTTCTTGCTGAGACTCAAGGTGGATTAGAAAATTTAAAGACAATGCAATAGGAACAGTATAAGACACAATAAACAGTACAATAAAATTGGGTTGGAGAATTAGAAAACAATGCAATGAAATAGCATATGACATGGCATATCATAAGCAGTCCAGAAACTGGATTACAGATGTCAGAAAACAATACAAAACTATAGCCCTAGTCCCTCCGGTTAAAAAAAAAGTCATCCTGAACAATTCCATTTTATTAACAACCCTATTCTCTGTATAAAAACACCCTCCTGAACAATTCTGATGTACACATTCAGCAGAACAATAGAATCACAGGAGCCCTCCTGATCATGTCAGGTAGGCCATTTTACAAAAGAGGAGACACTGCAGAGAAGGCTCAGGTAGAGGCTGCTGTTGATCTTATGCATTTACAGGGTGGGACTTTCAGAAGACTTTGCTAAGATAAGCATAGCTGTTGCAATGGAAGATATCAGAAAATTACTTTTATAACCTCTCTCCAGTATTCTTGTGTGAGTAATACCAAATGTGCACCCCTGATAACCTTAAAAATGTATAAAATTACTGATGAAGATTTGGTGGTTGAAGTACTTCAGAATAAAGCTGTATCAAGGGGAATGTTTAGCCCGTCCCTCAGTGACCTATTAGACTTTATTTTAGTGGTTGAAAGCAAGTGTGTGTACTTATCAACATTTTAGATGTCATTTTTCTTTCACTAAATGATTAAAGGTGACAGAAATGTATAGCCTGTATGGTGTAATTCCAAATATTATCGTGATCTCTAGTCTTTTGTGAAAAATGTTCCCTTCTTCTGTGAAGGATGGGGTTTTGTGGTATTGGTTTATTTTTTTAAAAGACAAAATTTTAAGTATAATGGCTGCCGTTAGTCCAGTCTTTCACTATGTCAAAAGTGCATATTCAGCCCACCTCAAACATTTATGGACTACAGCTGCAAAATATAATCTTTTCTGGTGGAGGTCAAGTCAGTTAGAATCCATGTTCTTTAAATGTGGAGTGGGCCTCCCTAAAGAGGTCACTAAGGAAGAGAGAATGCTTGCCCCCCAAAGCGCAAATTCCTGTGAAAAGTCAAAAAAGTTGCACTGATACTTTATATCTAGTTGCAACTAACATTGTGCACATTCAGTTCTGCCTCTGAGGAGATATTAATAATTGTTAAAGAGTTGTTAAGCATCTTCCCAATTAGTTCATTGTACATGTTTGTTTCCCTCACAATGTGGGGTTCAGTAATACTATTGGATACAAATCTAGCTTTTCATTAATGGGCTTTCTGTTTCCTTGGCCCAGGTACTCTCTTCAGCTTAGAAATCTGTGCTGTATCACAAATGTGTGTGGAAGTTGCTTCTATGTAACAAATTTATAGGCTTAAATTAGGATGTGCTTTGTTTACCAAGATGATAGTTTTCAGCTTGTTTTGGGAAACCCTGTAGTCCCTCACTAAAAAGATCAGCAATGGTTTTCTTTAAGAGACCTTTTCAGTCATTCCCTAAAATGCACAGCAACAAGGGAGTTTGTATGTGTTGTAGAACACACACTTGGTTCATGCTATATATGTAAATGCTTGGCTAGTGCTTAGCATAAACTGTGTCTGCCCTAGAACTTACCCCATAATCCTCTACAGTGTGCATTGGTTACAATTCCTACACTGATATGGCTATGTGGTCAGTAGTACCTCAGTGTAGAAAGTGTTGAAAAATGGTGCCATACGTTACAAGAGCTAGACATGAAAAACACGAGCCTTTTTACGGAATGACCAAGACCGCAATCAACAGCCCCTTAGTCTAAAGTATTAACATATATATGAATAGCATATATTGTTAGATATGAGAATTGTGGGTTGCAAGAACAGACCAAATGGAGCTGTAATGAAAAATTAGGAATATTATAAAGATATGCATAAAACTGACTTAACTGCTACCTCCTGGAACATTTCTGTTATTACAATTGACACTTAGGCAATAAACTAGAATCAGAGTTCTAGTTTATTGCCTGTTTACGGCTTGTCCCTTCTCTATGCGCATAGTTGCATTGTCTGAAATAGAATAGGTGCCGTAGTTTTAGCATGTTAGATAAGCTGACACTCAGCAAAGGCACACACACTTGTTAACAAGAATGTCAACTTTAACTTCATGCTTTCAATGGAAGAAAAATCCAAAGCTACAACTGCACGGGTTCTCTGTTTGCCGATGATGGTAAGTTGGGCTCCCTCTGCTGTTGAAAAGCAAAGTGGAACAATACTACAGGAGAATCTATCGTATTGACTACTTTGTTTCTGTGTCTATCCCTCAGACCAAACCCAAACTGGCTTGGTCTTTTTCACCCAAATCTGTTCTATAATCCTTCATCCTAAATCCTTACATTAACCTGGGCCTGCTCCCTGTGTCAAATCCTTCTTACTTACTTGTACAGGAATTCTATGTCAACTTCTTTGGTTTTGTGTTGGTAATGGAGCAGAAACTTTAAAAGCATATCTTTGGTGCACAAAAACTCTGTTCCTACAAAGGCTACTGCTTACCAAGAAACTTTTTTTCCTGAAGTGCATACCAAACATTCTCTTCTGTGTTCTGTTCACTTTACCCTTTTTAAAATGTGTGCATAAAGGTTTTGAAACTTTTTTTAAAAGGTTGTTTAACTTTATGGTTAATTTAATAGTTCTTTCTTTGACAGGTATGCACTTAAATGGTCTCCAGCAATTTTTAAAATTGAAAACGTCCATTTTCCTTCTTATAACTATCTAATGTATAATATGTTGTTGTAGGAATATTCGCATTCAAGTGTGCCCGTGCTGAAGAGTTATTTAATATGTTGCAAGAGATCATGCAGAATAACAGCATAAATGTGGTAGAAGAGCCAGTAGTAGAAAGGAACCAACATCAAACAGAGATGGAAGTTCCACGAACTCCCCGAACACCTACCAGTAAGTATTTTTTTCTCCTGAGTATTGGGTGTGAACTTAATCTCAGGTTACCAGGTTTACTTTTGGCATTCTAGAGTCACAACAAGATGTTACCTCATCAGTTTTCAGCATTAATATTCCTTGTGAATGTTCACGTGTGGTGAAGACTCATATTTACTGATTTAAGAGAGAGGTTAGAGGTATGAAGTCCCAGACAGATGAAAAGAAGAAATAAAAATGAGAGGCCCTGACCCCCACTTGTTCCTCCCCTCCCAGATTTTAAGAAAAACTGCAAAATCTTTCAGCATTACTGAAATGGTTTAAGGCATTATTATTAGTCATATGACATCTGCTTGAAAAAAATGTTCTTCTGGGACGAATAATTTGAAATCTCATATGGGCTACCTGTAAGATCCAAATTCTTAGAGATTGTACAGAAAGGACTGTAATCAAAGGACTAACTTACATGTAACACTCCCAGTTCCTTCACCATAGTTGCGAAATAAGGCTGGTAGTTTCCCTCACTTTCACAGCGCCTCTCCATTGCGGTATCTTTTTGTTCTGCATTTCGTTCCATTTTCACCTTGCATGTCCATCAGGATTTTTTTTTAGCTCTGCATTGATTTTTGTCCCTTCATCTCTCAGTTTGCTTTCTGTTAGCTGTTTCTCTGGCTTTTCTGAAAGTGGTTTTGTGACAATTTTCCCCCTTGCTTCTCTTCCAAGCTGACAGTAATTCAAAAGCATACAGTTTCTCCCGGATTTCTCCGCCCCTTTCCCCCTGCCAACACTGAGGTCATTCTGCCCATTCTGCACCTTCTGCCATCTTATCCCCTTCATCAGTGCTTACTTTTTCCCTCATGTAAAGGGGTTTTTTTTACAAGCAGAATGAGTTTAGCGAAATCAGTTTTTTGCTAAACTGGCTTCTCTGGGTTAAAATAATTATAGGGAAAGGCTGAGTTGGTGGTTTATGTGTATGTGAAGAGTTTTCCCTGCAGGATTGGCTGGGGCTCTGCTGGGCAGGCCCCAGCTCAACAGAGCCCACCAAGGAGCCTGCCAAGTTTAAGCCAACCAGCAGGGAGAAGGCAGTGCACAGCTGAACATGCAGGGAGCCATTGACATGGCTGTGCCTGCAGGGAGCCCGTCAGTTCAGAGCTGCCTTCTCCTGCTGTCCTGGGGAAAGGGGAAAGAATTGGCCCTCCCACAAGCACTCATCATAAGCCAGGACAAACCCATCCTCTGAACCTTAAAGGAGAAATCTTTAGCTTAGCTTCTGTGCCTCTGCTTCTCAGATCAGGGAAGAGTGAGGGGGAGAACAGGCAGGCTGCTTAGAAAGGAGAAGGAGGTGGGAGACCAAAAGGGGAGAAGCTAGCTATGTGTTTACAAAGAGGGGCTGTTTGCTGCCATTCAAAAGTTATCGACATTCAAGCAGCACTTTTGAAGACACTCAACACACACACATAGGCAGTAGAGCTGCCCTCTCCCTTAGTGCTCAACAATATGGAAAACAGGGCTTCTCAGCTCCTTGTCAATTTCAGGACAAGTCTGGTCAGTTTCAACAGTGGGTTCCCCCCCTTTCCCTGTGTTTCTTTTTGTTCCCTATCATTCAGGGTGCTAACACTAAAAGGCATGTGCAAACCATGAACTATGAGGATTGAAATTGAAGGTGCTTGCTGGACACTACTGCACAGCTGTGATGGGGCAATTTGTGTAAAAACATTTTTTAATTGGACACTGCCCACCACACATCACAAGTGACATTCCACTCAGATTTAGAAAAGTGCAGGTGGGGTGGTGGTTTGTAGCTACAGAATAAATACACCAGATGAAGTAAGACTGGTGCAGGTAGCAGACACAGAAGTCTGAAGTCAAGTTTATAGGCTTGAGTGCTTGGACACGCTGCAGTAAGTTGTGAGTACAGAAAGAGCTGAGGAGTGGCCAAAAATTAAATGTGACCTCACTTCTCTGGCATGAATTTCCTAGCTATTATCATCCTACTGGCATTGTTCTTAACTATGATCAGTTCTAACCAGGATTTGAAAGCAGAGTTTGTCGTTAGTGTCAACATTGTAACAGTTTACCCTAGTTACTGTTAACTGTCATCAAAGTGCTTTCCTAATGGGGATGAAGGTCGGTGGGGTATAAGGCAGTTTGCACTGGATGAGACAATCTAGGGTTGGGAGCATCTGATCCCACAGAGCTGCTCTCAGTCCATTAAAAGAGCTGAAAATGTTTCATGTGCACAAGCCCAAACTCTTTTTTTGCTAGTATTGCATTTTCAAAAATAACACACCTGTCATTCTTAAAGATGTCTGGATTTGTATTTCACATTACTTAATAATTGCAACTGAGTATGAAATACCAGTGAATTTAAATGTTATAATATATTCCTAAAAAGACAGGATTGATAGTGGTGATCAGGAAATCCTTGCATTTTCAAGTCTGTTTCAGAATGACTTAATGTTTAATATATACGTTTTCATGAAACATTTTCTGAAGAAAAACAGCATTTCATATCAATAGAATAACTGGGTTTTCTCTCCAATCAGCACCTGGGTTGAGTGGTCAGAGTTTACCAAATGGGTATCCAAGATATCCCTCCTATGGAGATGCTTCATCCCATCCCTCCAGCAGACACCCCTCTGTAGGAAGTGCACGTCTTCCTTCAGTAGGTGAAGAGTCAACACATCCTTTGCTTGTAGCAGAGGAGCAGGTAAGGAATGTTGATTTTTAATTTAATTGTATTCCCATTTTAATCTAATTCTTATGTACATGTCCAGTGTTACCATGACATATATTTGTACTGAGGTTTTATTACTCTTATATTCTGTGGTGGAAGTGTTGAGAAAATAGTTTCTTGCACAAGCATATGTACATGTCACTATGTACTGTTTTAGGAACAACAATACTATGTAGTCATTGGCCATGAGCTGTAAAGGGAGTAAGGCAAATCATATGGAGCTGTGTGATATTGCAGCTGACACTTTAATTTGTCCTTTACAGGTGCATACGTATGTGAATACAACTGGTGTACAGGAGGAAAGAAAAAACAGGCTGGGTGTGCGTACGCCTCTGGAACGAAGGGTTTCTAATGCAGAATCAAGCAAGGCGAAAGAAGAAGAAAATTGTTCTGAGGACAGAGATGCCCAGGTTGTACTGGAACCTGAAGGAGTCAAATTTATTTTGGGCCCAACACCTGTCCAGAGGCAATTAATGGAAAAAGAGAAACTGGAAACAAGTGGGAACAGTACTCACGCTATTGGAAACAGTACTGAAACTAGTGCGAGCAGCACTCAAGCTAGTGGGAGTAGTAACAGTGAATGGGACACTGGATATGACAGTGATGAACGCAAAGAAGCCTCTTCTGGTAATAAACTAGCATATGAAAATGTAAATAGATTGTCTATACCTAGTGCTCCAGGGCTCAGGAGAGGTCGTCTGATATCATCCAGTACCTCCGATACACAGAATATCAACAATTCAGCTCAAAGGAGAACTGCATTACTGAATTATGAAAATTTGCCATCTTTGCCGCCAGTTTGGGAAGCCCATAAGCTAAGTAAAGAGGATGATGACAGTTTAGGACCAAAGACCCCTTCTCTGAATGGCTACCACAATAACTTAGATCCCATGCATAATTATGTCAATACAGAGAATGTAACAGTGCCATTAAGTGCTCACAAAGTAGAATATGCACGACGGCGAGACTGTACCCCTACGGTCTTTAACTTTGATATTAGGCGACCGAATTCAGAACACAGGCAGCTCAACTATATACAGGTTGATCTGGAAGGTGGCAGTGACTCTGATAACCCTCAGACCCCCAAAACTCCTACCACTCCTCTTCCACAGACTCCAACTAGGCGCACAGAGCTGTATGCCGTGATAGACATTGAAAGAACAGCTGCTATGTCAAGCTTGCAGAAAGCACTGCCACGAGACGACGGTACTTCTCGAAAAACTAGACATAACAGTACTGACTTGCCTATGTGAGCCTGGAATGCATTAGTTAAATTGTTTGCACCTTTATGAAGTTTTTTTTTTTTAGAAATGAATGAGTGCTCCATTTTGATTTTTAAAAATCACCTTTCATAGATTCAGTAGACTTTTTTCTGAATATTTCATGTGCTTGTTTAATGAAAGGGAATTTAAGGTAGAGTATTAAATAACACTGCTTCATTTTACATTTGTAGTAACAGCTTTTGGACAGTACCTGTTTTATTGACTGAAAGTTGGAGTAACATGCCAATTTTGACAAACTGGCCATGTGCCTGAAGCCCCTTAAAGGCATGACTTTTTATGCCTCCTGAAACTTGCGTTCTTAGCAGATCAGTATATTCTTTCATAGCATATGTCCATAGACGCAAATGTTCCAGTTGAACATCATGTGGCATAAATGAGAGATTCTCTGGTCTGTTTTAATTGACTCAAAAAAGGGTACAAATTCCTCTATCCAGAAAACTTGGACTGAATTACTCTGGCAGAAACCAGAACGTAGTTGATAAAAAAGAACTGGCAGCAACTGTCATTCTCTAAAGCCCTCCATATAGCTTGTCACAGTACTGAAGAGTGCAACTCTTTATAAATCCAAGTAGTAAGTAAACATTTAATAGTATATATGATGCCACTGCTTAGAGTGAGTGGCTTGAGAAAAACTGATTAAATCAGCAACATTTTAAGCATACAAAGATCATTTAGTGCAGTTTTAAACACTTCATGAATTAATGACCAGATGCACTTTAAAGCCGCCAACAATAAATGCAGCAACTAGTATTTGAGGAACAAGTTGTGTTGTAGTTTGCATTTCAGAAATAGTCTATGCTGCAGTTTTGTTTCTTTTTCTCTTTGAGGTTGAAATTAACAGTGATTAATGTGTAGCAAGTATTCCATTTAGAGGAAAATGGGATACATCTGGATAAATTGTACTTTTTGGCAAGTTGGTATGGCTGGCACAAAACAGTTTGTACTGTGCTGAAGGGCTAGAAGTTCCTTAGCCAGAATCCAAAGGCCCACGTGCAATGTTCTGCATGTGCAATGGGTGTTCTCTGTTTCCCACCCCTTTCTGCCACTCGAAGTTACTCCTGAAGATCAGGGTAATCTCCCAGAGCAGCCCAAGAGATAGTACGCATGATGCTATCACCTTGCTTGATACTAAGAGTCTGATCAGTGCATGGGTGGGAAATCTTTGGAATCCTTTGTACACAGCCTTGAGTTCCATGATGGAAGAAAGGTAGGATATAAATGTAATCAGAATAAAATTCCTTGCAACTGGAAGAAAAAATAAGCAGTCCCTTGCCCCAGCCCATGTGCTTCTGTTAGACTTTTTTGGCCATCTTGAGAAAAGAACTTGTCACTGTTGACATGGGAGACATCACAACAGTATTCCCTTTCATCAGAATCTGCAATCAGCCTTGTGTTAGACCCACTACAGATTTTCAAGTGGCAGCTTCATGTTTTTCTGTACAGTTGTACAGATATTAAGAAGACATTTCTGATGTAGTTCAGAGTTACGTTGTATCTATAATAAGATCCTTTAAATTTTATTTTACTTTTACTTTCCTCCCTTTTCATCTGTGTGTCTGTACAGTGTTTAAATTGCAACTATTAATTTTGTATATAATCTTCAAAATATTTTATGCATTTCATCTTGTTCAAGTTCCATATTGCCATAGAAAAGCTTTTTGAAGACCTGTTGGTAATATTGTCAGTAACAGAAAGACCTTTTTATTGCCTGCACAAGGAAACATTAATTATCAGTAGTTAAGGTTAAGAAGTGCTGTGGCACCTTAGAAAATAACTGGTATGAGCTTTCATGCCTTGGTTTCTTCCAGAGGCAAACAATCATAGGTCAGTGTCATAGTCTGAAGGCTGGATTTGAATCCATCATGTGGTGTACTAATGCATATTCTATAAATAATAGTGCTGTTGGGTTTTGTGAGACAGAGATCCTGTTCTGCTTCCATCTACATTGGCACATCTGTGCAGGATGCCAGTAAAATCCCTTGCAATGTTGCCACAATGTCCTCCTTTGTAATGTTGGGCTGCTAGCAGTATATTCCATCTTAAGCATCAGGCTTGCTGGCACAGCAAGCCTTGAGACCTGAGTAGCTGCTAACAGTACATAAGATCCCTGAAAGCAATATTTTTGTGAATGGATTATACTTTACTACTGCTGAATATTCCCAATACATCTACCATCTGCTTATCTTCCTTGGTGCTCTGTTCAAAAATGCCTCAGTTTTATGCTAGAAAAGCATGTAGGGCTGCTGGTGCAGCACAAGACTCCATGCAACACAGGCAACCTGAACCTTCAATTCTAGAGGAAGTAAGAGGTATTGCAAACTGCTTGTGACCCTGACTTGGATGGCCCAGGCTAGCTTGATCACAGAAGCTAAAAGCACTGTCAACCTTGGTTAGTGTTTGCATGGGAGACTGCCAAGGAAGTCCAGGGGTGCTACGCAGAGGCAGGCAGTGGCAAACCACCTCTGAATGTCTCTTCTCTTAAAAACCCTTCAGAGGTTGCCATAAGTTGGCTGCAGGTTGACAGCGTCCACATACACACACACACATCCTGGAGTATTGAGTAAAATTGTGTGCAATAGATCCCCCACCTACCCCCCATTTTTTAAAAGCTAACTGTCTTCCTGTGACAGTTGAGCAAAAAAAAAGAAAAAATGGAGAGCCTCCTGGAAAAGCTGCTTTTCTATTCAGTTGTAAACTTCTGGCTTTCATTTCCATAATAGTTTTAAAAGCTATATAGTGCCTGAACTAGCTTCCTGATCATATTATATGGAACGTGTTCAGATGTACTGCTAGCTATAATCTTTTGCAAGTAGGAAAAAATAAAAGGAATCGTCCATTGCCAAATATTGAGAGAACATTAAAACCCTATCTTTTTAATCCATCTGTGGGAAAAGTTTGGGTATTTAAAAAAGCTCTGGTTTTGGCCGAGAAAGAGACTGCCGACACTCAAACCAGCAGCAAATAAAATGTGTCTACAAAAGTCTCTTTGCCTGTACTGTAGTAAATTGTGCCCTGACTGCCTATACTTCCTCCTGTTCAAGGCCAGGATCTTGCTTAAGTAATGGATATTGCAAGTGTACACCAGAGTGAGTTAGGTAGAAGGACGTGGCTACCATTTTATTTCTGTATGCAAATCCTTTGTTTCATCAGTTTCCCCAAGAAATGCCTTAACTTGTCTTTGCTTCTTATGAACCTCAACATCACCTGTTTGCATGTATGTTGGAAAGAAATTAGGATAGTTCTTTCCTCTCTGATTTTTTTTAATCAGCTAAAGATGATTTCAGAGCTTCTTTGCTGTCTTTTCAGTAGAATCAGATGGTTTGTCTAATTAGCTGCTATGAAATCATAAGATCTGCACTTTATTGGAGACTCATCAAAGTTTTGGCAAGAGGTTCATCATCTGCAGATCTGGGGCTCCTTTTACTTTGTCATCAGTATTAATATTTGCATTGGACTTGCAGATGTGCTTAGCAGGAAAGCACCAAATACTTTGGGGGGAAATAACCAGCATGAGGAAGAAATTCATCCTCACAGAATCCTGTGAAAAAGTGGCAATACTATTCATCCATGTGATACCCTGAAAGAATGCATGCAGTTTCTCTGGTGCCTTTCTGTTATAACATTAATGGTCAGTGATTCATTATTATTAAAAGCTAAAAATATGTGTGCTAATATTAACTGATTTGAGGTCTTATGATATAATTTTGTTATTATTATTTTTTAAATTGCATATGACAGTTTATTACATTCACAAGAATAAAACCTCACCAGCCTTAATAACAGGGATGTGCTGTGCTACTCTGGAAACCATCTCTATAAAATCAAACATTCCTCCTCAGGGCTGTGTTATATGTCAGCCCAAATCATATTATGCCTTGCAAACATATCTGTATATTGATCTTTCTATGTTCTCCCAAAGAAAACTGGAATTGAGGCAAATAGTGGAGAGCCGAAGTAAACACACATGAAGCTGCCTTATACTGAATCAGACCATTGGTTCATCACAGTTACTATTGTCTACTCAGATCAAGATGGGTAGCCGTGTTAGTCAGTCTGTAGCAGTAGAAAAGAGTACGTTCCCAGTAGCACCTTAAACAAAATTTGTGGTAGGGTATGAGCTTTTGTGAGTCACTACTCACTTCTTCTACTCAGACTGTCAGTAGCTCTCCAGGGCCTCAGGTAGAAGTTCTTTCACATCACCTATTGCCTGGTCCTCTTAACTGGAGATGACAGAGATTGATCCTGGGACCTTCTGCATTCCAAGCAGATGCTGTACCACTGAGCCATAGCCCCTCCAAAAAATAAAATTAACTGTGCTGGCTACTGGAATCCTGTTCTTTGATTAGAGGACATCCTACAGATCCCCATCTTTGCTTCAGAGATTTATCAGGTGCTGATATATTTCTAAACTTGTGCCACTTAAAAAGGAAAAATGAGCCGGCACTGATTATCAGGTTACCAGATTCTCTATTGGATGAAACACAGCCCTTACAACCCATCACCTAGGCAGGGGGTACCTTGACATCAATAACCTCATCCAGTTCAATTAAATAACATCCTACCAAAATGTGAGTGAAGATGATAATGCTTGCTGTTATAATTCTACAGTGAAACTGTGTTGATTTATTCCTGCTGAAGGCAATGCAGAAATTGTCACATCTTTTTTTTTGCTGAAGGCAATGCAGAAATTGTTTCATCAAATACAGAAGCTAAATTGGGGTAGTATCTAGACCTGCCAACCTCTGGGTAGGGCCTGGAGAGCTCCTGGAATTAAAACTTACCTCTAGACTACAGAGATCAGTTCCCCTGAAGAAGACGGCTGCTTTGGAGGCTGGACTCCATGCTGTTATACTCTGCCCTCCCCAAGCTCCACCCCAAATCACTAGGAATTTCCCCACCAGGAATGGGCAACCCTAGTATTATCACTGGAGGGCAGATTGCCTTGGAACAACCTAATGCAAAAGTTGTGA